GTCAGTGTAGAACCAGGTATCAGGTTCATTAAGGCAGAGGCTTGGCAAAACTGTCGGCAGCTCCGCATCGTTACACTGCCTGCCACAGTAGTAGGCATTTCCGATAATGTCTTCCGCGATTGCAAACTACTGAACAGCGTCGCGGCTCCGGGTTGCCTAGACTTTGGGTATAAAGCCTTTGCGGAATGTTGTTCCTTGCAATAGGTGTATGCATCGGAAGGAATTGCAAATGTGTTCAATAGTGAAGCCAAGCTAGGGCAATACCTCTTTCAAGGCTGTATCAATCTTGCAGAGGTTACCTTAAGTGAGCTTCCATCTCCCCGAGAGTCAGTACTGCAAGCTAGGGTCAGTGAGTTAACGCCGGGCTGCCTCAGCTCCACAGGAATCACTGCACTTGCTCTCCCGATGCATTTTGTAACTCTCGGAGCGCATGCGTGCGACAGTTGCCGACTACTTAAGAATATAGACCTTTGCAACACCCAGGTTGAGGAAATTCCGGAATTCGCCTTTGTGCACTGCACTAGTCTCAAAGAAGTCCTTCTTCCGATAACCCTCCACACAATCCGAGTCAAAGCTTTCATGAACTGTGCAGCTCTCGTGGAGCTTGCCATTCCGCCCTCGCTGAGGTACATAGGAAGTAGGGCCTTCCTAGACTGCACTGTCTTTAGTAGGCTTGTCAAGATGCCAGGAAGGCATAAGTGGCGAGGAGTCTACGCAGAAGAAAATGCTTTCGCCATTTGTCCTGCTATGCGATGGCCACCTTGGCTGCACATGATCCCGGACATGGGGTACACCCCTGGTCTTGGATGAAAACAAGTCGTTTTTCTTGGTTGCAGCGAGCGCTGCATCGTAGATACTCGTCAAGAGTCTGGGCACGCGCCTTAGCGTGGGTCCAAGGCAGGTCAACGATCATGACAGAGCAAATTCCAGAAGGGAGCGGAGAAACATCGCAATTGTACCCTTGTATAGGAAGTCCTACTCAAGAGAATATGGCGAGGCTAGGGACAAGCAAACGACAATAAACTGCACGTTGCCAAAGACCAGTGTTCCTAAACAAACTGGATACCCCGTCTAGTCCGGGCAATGCTAAGGAATGTCGACAGATGCCAGTTGTCACAGGGAAGAAAAATGGCTAGACCGGATAGAGCCGGTGAACCTGTGATTGGAATGGGGGACAAGCTGACAGACAGCAGAGTGCGGCAAGCAAGATGAGCAAGCACGGACCAACCTTTTCGCCATTCGAACTGCTGTGAGCCTATAGGAGTGAGAGCCTTAGCTCTTCGTTCCTAACAGGCGGGTGGTAGAGAGTGGCAATGGCGGATGCCCAGGGGGAACCTTAGTTCCCTTTGTTGATGTCCGACATTTCCAATTTTGTACAAAGAAGTACAGATACCAAGCTAGGATTGTCCAAAGTTTCACCTGTTTCACCTTTTTCACACGGGCCTTGCACGCAGCCGATTCACTTTTGCTACGGTGCTGCGCTTCGTAAACCTGGAAGGCACTCCACTCTGTTTGCTGTTTGGTACCTGTGTGTACCAAACAGTGTTGAACTGACCTCCCTTCGGGGGGGGTCTCTTCGGGGTCTCTCCGCTCCTTCACCTGCTAGCTTTCGTCGATTATGGCCGCCACCCATTGATTGTTGATTGGTAGCATGCCACTTGACTTGTAAGTGCAACCGGTTGAACGGGTTGTGCCACAAGAAAGGTCTTTTCCACGGCATGCTACACAGCTACGCCACCCCACTTGTCAGGGATGCAATCGACGTTGAAGCATTGCGATACCTCTTTGTTGAGTGGAGAACTGCATTGTGACCATGATTTTGCCGCACTGGGGTGTGGCCGTTGGTCACTCATAATGGTGAAGTGAAGTCCTTTTGAAGCCTTTTTGCGACTTTGCTTGAGCACAAACCTGCGCCGATATGCTTTTCGTTCGTTAATTCAGGCCCTTTTCTAGACACTCTCTCTCGTTTCACATGTTTCACCTAGCACAGAGGAAAGACTACATGATGGTGGAGACTCGGCCTGTGGGCCCTGGGTTGTGTTGTTTTGCTTGTTTGGTTGGGTTGGGTTGTGGTTGTGGTCCTTGTTATTTTCTCCACCATCAGACTGTCTTTCCTTCCCTTCAACGATGACCTGGGCACCATGCCCACACGGCGTCCGTACTCGTGGAAAAAAAAAGGATGCGCGCCAATTTGCCAGGCCCATTGTCATCAGAAGCATCTCTGAGCACAAGGGTTTGCAACATGGCCAAAGACTGCATCTTTTTCATCCCTCTCTGTTGAGAAGGCCTCGCCTTGGCTACCCCGCTGTCTTCATGTACAATGCTTGGGTTGTTCACCCATATGTTTGTATCATCAGAAACAACCGCGATGATGGCGTGCTTGCTGCCGCAGAGATGACTGTCTTCAAAGAACTGTTTCAACGCGCTTCTTTGAGCAACCATGTGGGAGTAGATCCCGATTTGCCGTTGCCGCGCCACTATGTGCCCTTCTGGCCTACCCAAGGCCAGTCGCAAGACTGAGTTGAACGCAGAAACCCCGTGGTCAAAAGATGAGAGTGCCATCAGCTGCTTTGTGTCATGTGAAACGTGAGACGAAACGTTGACGAGTTTTGCTTCTTGTCTCCACGATTTCTTCTGGGCTGACAGCTGTATAAATAAAGTCAGTTTTCGATGTTTCTCATGTGGAAACATTTTTTGAGAGCAGTTCACGAGAAAAGCGCTTGAAGACCGAGACAGAGAGAGAGAACTCGTGTTTCAAAGTTATGCACAAGGGGTCCCTACTCACGGAATGTTTGTTGATTGAACGTTTTGTGAAGACAATTTTGCATAATGGTTGTTATGCATTTTTGAGTGCTTTAAGCTCGATACCTTCGGTATCTCGGATGGGATCTGCTTGTTGCAGGAACGCCTCATGGCTTGTTGAACTTTACTTGTTAGTTCAAGTGCGCGGAACAAGGTGCAATGCCTTTGCTGTGCTGTTGAGTGCTGTTGCAAGTGCTTTACCAGTGTGAAACGTTTTGGAGTCTATTCACGTAAGATGGTAGGTCAGTAAGTTTTTCACGCCCGTGCCAAGTGTAGGTTTTGCTTTTGCACATGAAATGGACAATTCGCGACACTATTGCATGAGATAACTTTGACTGGTTTGTTGTGGCGTTGTACATTCCTTATCCTTTTTGGCCCTGGGTCTTCGTGGGGTGCGCTGTTCGCCAACATTGTGCGATTGAGAAGACGTTCACTATCAAACCGTTGCAGACATGATGGTGATTCCGCAAGTGAATCTCACAAAACAAAACGTTCCTTGGATCGCACTCCTGAGCCGCTGAAACATTTCATCGAAGCACTGGTGTTTCGAACATCCAAGTGTTAAACCATATTTGTTTTACAACAATTTTTTTCGAAGGGGTCTGGAGGGCGTGGTTGCACAATTGCGCTACGAAGCGGTGCGTGAGAACATCCGCAACACACATGATGATGCATGAACTCTTCTGTGCATTTTCTAGCCGGGTCAACATTGGGTTGTTTCGATGCGAAATTGTTGAAGACCAACTGTGCCCAGACATAATGTTCCAATAGTTCATGTCGCTGCTGTTTTCACTGTCATGAAGCTTGTCCAATTGGTTGGACAATTTTTTGTAAATAATCATGTGTTCGCGACAATAATAGATTTTAACTTGATTTCTTGGAGAACTCTCAAGAACTGTTTTCATGAAAAGATAACATTTTGATATTGCAACCGATTGATCAACACTTTGGGACAAAAGGAACAACACAGTAACAAAAACCACGGTTTGGTGGTTGTTTCCAACCAATCTGCGAAGGCCGAAACATTTTCAAGGAACAATGCATTGTTTTTAGGCATGCAGCATGCAAATACAAAATATATTCATATAGTTGACAGGAATGTGCACTACATAGTGCGCAACGTTGTTGCTATGGACTTGAAGAGCTTCACGCCTACAAATGGCGTCGTGCTTCCGCAAAGATCTTTGCCACGCACAAAATGCATTCCACGTCTGATTCAGACTGGTTCGACCCGAAAGCGATCAACATGTTTTTCACCTGCAACTATTGTTCTTTGCTTGGCAGTCGGAGCACGTGGCAGACCTCAGCGTGCACAAAGAAGTGCAGTGTGTTTAATGAGTATCCGAGATGCACGTGAAGCTATTAGAGATTGTCTCAGGGAGAATCGTACGATGCCGGTATTACAGGCTCTACCCGAGGACAGGGTTGCCATGGTTTTTTGTTGGGCGTGGTATGGGTAGTGTTTGCAATTGCTTGACAATCCCCAAAACATAGAATTTTGATTCTACTGACGTTTGACGCAGGATTCTTTGCAACAAATCCTGGATACAATGACCAGAATGGAACTGAAGGCTGGCGAGCATATCTTCCGCAAGGGCGAACCTGTGGATGCTGTTTATGTCGTCGAGTCGGGAGAGCTGAGCGTGGTAAAGCCATTAAGGCAAGGGGAGGAGGACGGCGCTGTTGGAGTTCTGATTGATCAGCTTGCCCAGCATAAATCTCTTGTTTCAATTTGTCAGAAGCTTGTTTCTCATCTCTTGTTTGCAGGAAGAGGCGTTTGAAGCCACAACTTTGGGGCCTGGCTCTTACATTGGAGAGCTTGGACTCTTCTATGACCGTACCTGCATGGAAAATGTCTCGGTGCGCGGTGACAAAGCAACTCTTTGGCAACTCAAAAGGACAGATTTCTTTGAGATCATTGACCGCTTGGAGGAAGAGATTGGCGGGGAGTGTCAGATGCCAGAGGAGATATTGGACAGAGAGCCAGCTTCTGTGTTCGTTGTCTCAGATGGCTCTGGCTATTCTGCTGGTGGTGCAGTCAACCTGGCACTGAAACAATTTGAGAACCAAGCAAACAAGAATTGCGAGACGGTGAATGTCACAAGCTTTCCCTACATTCGATACAAAGGTGAAATATCACAAGTGGCCAAGAGAGCTCGACAAGAGAATGCGCTCATCGTCTACACTTTGATGCGAAAAGAACCGCGTCAGGCGATGCTTGAAGAGCTGGAAAGGCCTTTAAAAGAAGGTGAGAATCCGTTCGTTGGCCGCATCTCTTGAAGGGGTTTTTGTTTCTGGACTTTGGACTAAACTCTTTTGAAGTATCTTTGCTTTCTTGTGTCAACTTGGTTGCTCATTTGCATTTGCCGAGTCATTGATATCATGTGAGAGGAAATGATTTGATACCCCCAACGACGCTAGGCCTTAGCATTATTAAGATGCAGAGCTACATAAATGGTTTAGAGATCGCAAAAGAGCCTTCTGACGAACTCTTTGGATGAGTATAGCTACTTCCACTCCTTGATTTCACGACCAGGGCAGTAGTTAAGTGAGATCTGGGCAACATGCAGACCTGAGGCTCCGAGCAGTTGACCTTTGGGAGCCATTATTGCTGTCAATGGAGGATCTACTTGGCATTCCCCGAAATTCAGAGGCAGATCACATAAGAAAACAAGCACAGCACTTTTTCCCGAAAGCATTGCGAAGGGTTCTTCCGGAAAATCCTTTGAA